TCTCTCTCTCTCTCTCTCTCTCTCTCTCTCTCTCTCTCTCTCTCTCTCTCTCTCTCTCTCTCTCTCTCTCTCTCTCTCTCTCTCTCTCTCTCTCTCTCTCTCTCTCTCCTCTCTCTCTCCCTCTCTCTCTCTCTCTCCTCCTCTCTCTCTCTCTCTCTCTCTCTCTCTCTCTCTCTCTCTCCTCTCTCTCTCTCTCTCTCTCTCTCTATCTATCTATCTATCTATCTATCTATCTACCTATCTCCCTCCCTCCCTCTTCTCTCTCCATTTCGTACTGTAATCAATAACAAAAGACAGATAGCAAGAGAACATTTTTAAATTTGCACTCATGGTCGATTTTCTGTCCAGTTTATGTGCTAATGACAACCAAGCATGCGAAGGACCCTCTTTTGCATTGCGCGCATGGTCGGTCGTCCAGCGGTTGAACAAGCAAATGTCGCCCGTGCATACCCAGACGGTAGAGTCGTCCTTGGGTTGGTATGGTAGTCGATAATACAGCGGAAGGGAAGGAAAGGGGAGGGGAAGGGGAGGAAGGAAAGGGGAGGGGAAGGGGAGGGAGGGGAAGGGGAAGGGGAAGGGGAGGGAGGGGAAGGGGAAGGGGAGGGAAGGGGAAGGAACAGGGAGGGAGGGGAAGGGAGGGGAGGGGAAGGAAACATGGTATTGGGTATTAAGAAGGCCGTGGAATGAAAGGAAAGGAGGGGCGGGTGGAAGCCGGGTACGAAGTGACATGATTTAATAAGATTACAGTGTTGTGCGATAAGCTAAGGATGGGGGGGGGGGGTAACGCAATAGAATACGAGTAAGGAGTTTGAGCGGGGAAGATAAGCCGGTAGATGGAGCTTTGAAGTAAGTCTGAAAGAAGTTTTCAAAATGTTTTCACACTCACACTGTTCAAAATACGATTATAAATGTGAAGCAAATGTGTAATGATTTTAGTTGTCAGTTGTCATAATAACTTATATTTAAACAAAGACATAATCGGACAAACGCTTTCAGACAAACACAGAATCAGGCTGTAAAGTACAGACAGACAAAAGGGCAAAAGCGTACAGACGTACTTTCATATATAGCGGGGTTAAGCGATCAGATATATAAGAATATATACGGTGTGTGTGTTTGCGTGTGTGTGTGTGTGTGTGTGTATGTGTGTGTGTGTGTGTGTGTGTGTGTGTGTGTGTGTGTGTGTGTGTGTGTGTGTGTGTGTGTGTGTGTGTGTGTGTGTGTGTGTGTTTGTGTGCGTGTGTGTGTGTATGTGTGTGTGTGTGTGTGTGTGTGTGTGTGTGTGTTCGTATTTGCGAGTGTGCTGTCTGTGAGTGCGTATGCGTGCGTATACTTACTAGCATGTCTGTGTGTATGTGTGTCTGTCTGCCTGCCTGTCCACCTGTCTGCCTCTCTCTCTCTCTCTCTCTCTCTCTCTCTCTCTCTCTCTCTCTCTCTCTCTCTCTCTCTCTCTCTCTCTCTCTCTCTCTCTCTCTCTCTCTCTCTCTCTCTCTTTCCATTTGTTTAACACTGTTCATCTTTCTCTCGCAATAAACAATCTATCTCTTCCTATCCCTCTCCCTCTCCTTCTCCTTCCCTCCTCATTCCCTTTTTCCTTCCTTCCTTCTTTCTCTCCTCGTCATTCTCCTTTGTCTCTGTGTCCTTCAGAACTTTCCCTTGTTATTTAGAATCTCAAGGTGACGAGAAAAACTCATAAGTGTTAATAAGGCATAATTTACCCTTTGTTATCCATACTAATTTGAACTCTATTGCAGATAGGAGATAGGAGAGTGAAAGAAAAAATATTTATATAAATAACTAAAATTTAATCAGGTTTTCTTGTTTCTATTTCTTATATTTCTTTAGAAAAAAAGTAAAAAAAAAAATCAAAATGCGCTTCAGTCGGCAAGCACACCCGATCGAGTTGCCAATTCGATGTTTATTTTCTAAAGACGTTTTGATATACAAATTTCTTTCCCAGAATCCAAAGCGAGATTCCTTCTTCGAAATTGTCTTGTAGAGCTATTTTCGTAACTGTCTATTTAACTAACATATCTGCGAATTGTTTTTAAGAATCCATCTGTCTGTCTATCTGTATATCTATTCAGCCATTCATCCATATATGTATCTATATTTTTATATCTGTCTATCTCTGTATATACATCCACCCACCCACCCACCCATCCATCTATTTTTCATATTACGGATCTGATATGGTTTGATGGTGTAAATATATCAACTTTCATTTTTCACCATTGTTTGTGCCGTTATTTTGTTATAAATTGGATAATGATGTGATGGTGATGAAGGTGTTGGGGATGATGGTGGTTGTGATGATGGCGATGGAGGTGATGATGATGGTGGTTGTGATGATGTTGATGGTGATGATAATGATAACGATAATGCTATTAATGACGATGGTGATACTGAAAACGCGATTTTCATATGACATTGCATATGACATTTTAGTACTTAGTTTTGGTAGCAAAAAAAAATTATTTATGTATTAATATTATTACTATCATTGTCATTGTTATTATTTTAATTACTGTTATTACTATCAATATTATTATCATTATTTTTATCATTATCATTATTATCAGCATTGTTATTATCATTATCATTGCTATTATTAATTAATACTACTATCATCATAATTACTATTATTATGGTTATTATCCTTGTTATCACTATTATCATTATCATTTTTATCATTACCATCAAAATTCTTTTAATTCTCGCTATCAGTACAGTAAAACACATCACTTAAACAATATTCTATCAAGCAAAATAGAGAAAAATAAATATACACATTTTCCATATTTAACAGTAATGATAGTTATAATAATTCATAATTACGAAAACATCCGAAAACCAAAGAAAAAAACAACAACATGAAAGCAACTGCATCGGGGCTCAGTTGCCAAGTAGTCTTTTCCGAACATAGAGAACGTGCAACATTTTCTATTTCAGTGTGTGACAGGAAGCGGAGTAGTATACACGTGAAATTCCACACCTCCTTATTTCTCAGGTGAGTAACAGTACGCTTTTTTGAAAGCAATTTTGTAAATGACATTACCTTATTTTCATCATTATGTAAAAGATAGTTTTATAACATGTTATTTTATGCAGAAGACCTTAAATACCTGTTAAGTTCTAGGGATGTTATCAATAATATGCAGTTGCATTTTCAAAGCATGGCATCTGGTGATCAATCGTAAAAATGCTTTATCATTGTGAGTTTCGGAGTCTCGTAGTAATGATTAATGACTGCTATTACAGCTACTGCCATTCCCCCTTTATTGCATGCGAATAAGAATGGTTGTGATGATGATGATAATGGTGTTACTTATAATTATAATTATTATTATTATTATGTTATTGTTTTTTTATTATCATATTATTATTATTATTGTTGTTGTTATTGTTTTGTTATTGTTATTATTATTGTCATTATAATGAGAATGATGATGATAATGATAACAATAATGATAGTGATGATGGTGATGGTGATTGTGATATAGATGATGATGATAGTAATGATGATAATAATATTAATAGTAGTAATAGTTATAGGACTGATAATGTGATGATACTTTTATCATAAAAGTAATGATAATCATGATGCTAATTATGATGGTAATAATAATGATATTAATGATAATAATAATAATAATGAAAATATTTATGTTAATGATAATGATAATAATAATAGTGATAATGATTTTGATAATGATAAGACAAATAATGATAGTAAAAATAATAATGATAATTATAATTATAATAGTAGGTGATACTGATACTAGTTATAATGCTAATGCTGATAATATTAATAGTAATAGTAATGCTAAAAGTAATAACGATAACAATAATAATAATAACAATGATAAGAAATTCAGTGATAGTAATAATTAAAATCGTGATAATGATGATAGTAATAACAATAATAATAATGATAACAATGATAATAACAAATAGAAATAATGACAGTGATGACAATAACGATAATCATTAGTAATAATAATCACCAACATCAGCATCACCTCCATCACCATCATTGTCACTATCACCACTATCATCCTCGCCATCACCACCACCATTATCACCATAATTATCACCACTATCTTCATCACCATGATCACCATCATCATCACTGTCATCCCCACCATCTTCATCTTCATCACCATTACCACCATCATCATCACTATCATCACCATCATTATCACCATCACCGCCACCATCAACGTCTTCATCACCGCCATCGACTGCGTGAAAAAAGTGCCGACTCATGACTGCCATTCACCCGCCATTACTTCTGCCTCTATTGTACTCTGAATGCAAAACCTTGAAAATATTTTTTTTTCTTTTTTTTGTACTTGTAATGTACGTTGTCCGTTGTTGTTTTTTGTAATTCATTCTCTTTGGCAAAGCCATATTTTTTATCTATTATTTATGTGGCAGGAGTTCTTATGCTATCGAATTTCTGACACATGCACACGCATACACGCACGCGCACGCACGCACGCATGCACGCACACATGCACGCACACATGCACGCACACATGCACGCACACATGCACGCACACATACACGCACACATGCACGCACTCATGTACGTACACAGACACAGACACACACACACACACACACACACACACACACACACACACACACACACACACACACACACACACACACACACACACACACACACACGCGCACACACACACACACACACGCACACGCACACACACATACACACACACACACACACACACACACACACACACACACACACACACACACACACGCACACACACACACACACACACACACACACACACACACACACACGCGCGCACGCACACACACACACACACACACACACACACACACACACACACACACACACACACACACACACACACACACACACACACGCACACGCACACGCACACACACATACACAAAATAAATAAATAAATAAAATAATATCGATTCTTTTTGCCCGCCCCTTTCAGCATGTCCCACGGCCAGTGCGACCACGCCCACGGGGGGCCGGTGCAGTGCGACCACAGCGCGGGCGTGGGCGTGGGGGACTTCGACGACCCGCTGTTCCAGAAGCAGGACTGGGGCGTCGAGGACTGGCTGCAGATGTATGAGAAGTTTGTGGGTATTGAGCGGCCCTTGCAGCGGAAGGCCATGTTTTGTGTGTCACTGTCTGGTCTCGGTTCTCTTTTCTCTTTTCTCCTTCTCTGTTTGTGTTTCTGTCTCTTTTTTTCTTTCTTTTCTCAGTCTTTGTCTGTGTCTCTCTCTGCCTCTCTGTCTCTGTCTCTCTCTCTCTCCCTCCCTCCCTCCCTCCCTCCCTCCCTCCCTCCCTCCCTCCCTCCCTCCCTCCCCTCCCTCCCTCCCCTCCCTCCCCTCCCTCCCCTCCCTCCCCTCCCTCCCCTCCCCTCCCTTTCTCCCTTCCTCCTTTCTTCAATCCCCTCCCCTCCCCTCCCCTCCCTCCCCTCCCCTCCCTTTCTCCCTTCCTCCTTTCTTCAATCTCTCATTTGGTCTATTTCATTTTCTCTCATGTATGATATACTACAACTGATTACAAAACTGGGAATATGAAAATAATAACTAATGCTTCCAATTAACAGTATATGAAAACCTACAATTATTTCCACCCCTAATTCCTGTCTGTCTTTGCATGATGTAGCCTGACATGAGGGAAAAGGGGCAACCTTCACAGGCCTTACTGAAGTACCTGAAGGAAATCCTCCCTTCCGAGCCAGGGAGGGTGTTGCTCCCTCTGTGTGGAAAAAGTCCGGACCTGAGGTGGTGAGTTTGAGGAAGGGCGTTGCGGAGAATCTGTCACTCCTTTGGTCCCATTCCTGAATTCTCTAAATTTTCTCGTTCTCTCTCTCTATCCTTTATTTCCTTCCGTCTTGGTCTGTGGGTGTGTCTTTCTGCCTTTCTCTTTTCTGTCTCTTGATTTCTTTGGTGTGTCTGCATCAGCTATTCTCTTGTCAGTTTGACTGTCTGTCTCTTTTTGAATGTCTTTTTCTTTTCTCTCTCTCTCTCTCTTCCTCCCTCCCTCTCCCTCTCCCTCCCCCTCCCCCTCTCCCTCTCTCCCTCTCTCCCTCTCTCCCTCCCAATCATATTTATGATAAATGTTTTGTTAAAATAGATGTAACAAGATCCTATAAATTAATGATAATTCCTGAATTTTATGAGAATAAATCCAGTAGATATCGCCAGAAAGAGTGAATTAGTGCTAGGGACTTTTTGCATTGCCTTGAAATTAAAATATGAATAATTAACTCAGGCTGTATGACCGTGGAAACACAGTTGTGGGAATTGAGTGCGCGGAGAAGGTGGTGAAAAACTTCTACGAGACTTACCCAGATCTCAAGCATACCGTCCATGATCTGCCTTATGGTAAAGTCTACAAGGTAAAATTTGATTAGAAAAAGAGTGAAAACGATGAATATGTTTCCTTTTTCCAGTGTAGGAGGCCTATTATTTTTTCAGTTAGATTTTATTAACTATCTTGCTGTTCAACTGTTGATAGATGTTGATAGAGTAATCCATTATAGAATTTCATAATAGAAAGCCTTTACTTTGATGATTATGATAAAGAAGATCATAATCCATATGAATATCAGGTAAGTGTAAATTAAAATACATTTTTTCTCTTTAACCTTTAGCTGTGCATCGTTCCCATCATTTATATATTTTGTAAAATAAAGCCAAGACTTATAGATTGTAACAGAAACAAAGATACATATAAATCCAAGTATAGCATACAACTAAAAATATTCAAAATTTTTCCTCAAAAACATAATGAAGAAGAATGACCATTATGGACATATCAATCAACACTATCAGAAAAATACATACTTATGACAAAAGCGATCCAAAGATAGACATACACATCAGAAGAACATGAACCAAGATAATCATAATTATCCCTCAAAAACAGAGTGAAGATGAGCGTCTCCAAGTGTATATCTGCAATGTTATCCACATCCCAGAGGGAGAACTGGGAGAGTTTGACGCGGTGTTCGACTGGGCTGCCTACACGGCCATCAACACGCAGGAGAGGCAGAAGTAAGTCGAAAGAGGACAGTTATTTTGAGGCTTACAATCTGTGAGGTCAGACGCTTTTGTGATGATGTGGGCGGGATTTCTGTCTTCAGAGAGAGGTTTGATTTGTATCTTGTTTGATAGAGATTAGGAAAAGTGCATTAAAATCTGCTTAATGGTGTGATGAGAAATGATATGTTAAAGACTTTTGGAATTGAATTGGAGATAGTAGAAGAGAGAGAGAGAGAGAGAGAGAGAGAGAGAGAGACAGACAGACAGACAGACAGACAGAGATCAGGAATGTAGCTAGATATAGAAGATATTTTCTGAAAAGGCTTTAATTACATGATTCCATATACATTGTGAAAGGTTACAGAGAAGCAAGTTGACAGAGGGAGTTACATTAACATTAAAAGAAAGTTTAGCTGCAAATACAAGACATTTTCTGGGTTTTCTGTCACCAAGAATAAGAAGTATTGAAGGGAAGTAGACATTTACTTTAGGAAAAGTATAATGTCTTATACATATTCATATAATCCTTTTATTCACAACAATGCACAGCCATCACTCCTACTAATTAGCATGTGAACTTTATTGAAATTATTTATTAAAACCTTAATAATATAAATTCATTACAGTAGCTGTGGATGTTTCAGTGCATTTTATAATTATGTAAATGAAATAAGAATAAAAAAAAATCGGAAAGATGGATAGAAGGTCAACACACAAAAGTGACAAGTATAAAGAAGCATAGAAAGCAAAACAGAATGAAACTAGACAAGTAAAAGAAAATATGATATAGATGGAAATGTAGAAAGACAAGGAAGTGAATTAAGTAGAAAGTGAACATGGGGAAAAAATAAAGATAGATGCACACAGGAAGATGTATTTGTTTAGAATTAGATAAAAGTACAAATAAGTTAAGAGAAAAGTGAAATATCAGATAAGGAATACATATAGGTATAGAGAAATCTGTACTTGTAAATGCACACTTTCTGTCTACCCATAGATCAGTATCTATAAAGCTATATAGCTACATATCTCTTTTTTGTATGTATGAGTCTATATGTTCATCTATTATACAGATAGATAGATAAGGACATCCCTGACAGTTATTATGTCTGTCTCTTCATCTCTTTATCATTCAAGTTGTTTCTATACCAATAACAAATATATATATAGCTATCTGTCTGCCTGTATTTTATAATGGTGAATGTGTGAATGAAGTCAAAACCCTCGACCTCACTCCCTGTTTTCCTTTCAGGTACGTTGACATCATGAAGTCCTGCATGAAGCCTGACTCCCGGTACTTCCTCGAGGTGTGTCACGACCTGGAGGAGGGAGCCAAGGGAACTCCCAACTCCATCTCCTTCCGCACAATCAAGCTGGAATTTGGTAGGCTGGGGGAAATGCGTTTCTTGTTCTTATTCTTGTTCTTATTCTTGTTCTTAGATTTATTTATGATGATGATGATTAATACTGATAATAATGATAATGATAATCAGAATCATCCTCATTATTATTAGTAATAGTAGTAGTAGTAGTAGTAGTAATAGTGTTAAGATTATTATATATGTCTACCATACATTTCATAATTCTACACATATTTAATTTATGTAACTGTGTACCCCACATGATACTAAATATATAACTACTATTCTTAAAACCACTTATCAAGGTCTCAAGTAATCAGTGTTAATCTATTTGGGTTATTACTTGTTGCTTGAGTTGCCAAATTATTATTTTCCTTCTGTCTCTTTCCAGGATGGGACCGAAAGATGAAGTTTTTGGAGACGAAGGACATATCTGATGAATGGAATGTGAAGAGTTTCTTTAACACCTTCCTCGTGTTCCTTCCCAAATAAATGTTGCTTTTCACCTTTTCATCTTTTCATCTCTTTTCGTCTTCGTCTTCTTGTTCTCCATCACCTCTGTTGTCTTTTTTTTCCTTTCTGTCTTTGAGTTATTCTATTTTCTTTGTTTTTACATCTTCCATTTTTTTCTCTCTTTTTTTTTCTTCTCCTTAGTTTTCTTTAGATATTTGGTCTTATTTGGCTGGCTTGTATTGTCAAAGGCAAGCAATTATTGTATAATTAATTCCTGTTTGATTGATAATAGATTAATTATCAGTTGATGTTGATGGTGAACAAAATTGTGCTTTGCATGGTCAATGGATCCATATTTTCTATTCACAATGATATTGAAAAACAAAACTAATATATTAATATATTTTTGTCTCAGACATGAAAATGAAGCAGGGAAAATGGTGTTCACATAGAATGATAGACAGCAAAGGAAACAAATATATTCTATAATATGTCTGTATTATTACAAACCATATTTTGTATAATGTCCTATTTTTCAGGTGTATTGCGAGTGACAGATTACTGTGAGGAAGTTCAAAATGGAATTATCGTAATTAACTATGGTTAGATATTAAACATATTTAGCTACAAATGTTAACATAGTGCAAATTAAAGTTCCTTCAATTATCATGTTGTTTGAGAAAGTGGTTGACAGGCAGTATATATATATATTTTTTTTTTCTCTCTCTCTCCTTCTTTTTCTTCTTCTTTTTCTTCTTGTTCTTCTTCTCATCACACTAATAACCAGTATTTGCCTGATGTGCATTTCTGCTGAAGATTACAAAGGTGATTAAGTGATTAATTTTGTTAAAGATTATTATTTCACCAAAAAGCAGGTGGTTACTGAATATGATGTTTTATAACATATTGATTCTAAAGATAGAATATGAACACTCATCTCATTGAATCTTTATTTAACGGATTATATATTGACAATGAAGCTGGTTACAATAGGATTATACAACAAAAGAAACATGGTACATTAGAATTAATGTAGGATGAAAGTAACAATTTTTGCGGTGTTTTGACTGATAAATATATTTATATTAAATATTACAAAGGAGTACATTTGACATTGAGTTTGTAACAAAAAGCAGGTGGTTAATGTATATGATTTATTGTGACATTTTGATTGTTGAAATAAAATGTCTGATTAAATCTTTAAGGGTTTATATATTGACAGTCTACAAAAAGCATGAATCTTGAAATCCATGATGAAAGTTACAGGAAACAGGAAATATAAGAAAGACCAACACATTGTCTTTAAATGCTGGCACTTTTTTATGGATGTCCACTATCTCAATATATACAGTTCTTTAGATAAATAGTATTTTGTGTCTATCTTTAGAGATAAGCACAATCCATTTTAGATATGCATCGTTATTAGACAGTAACTCAGATGCCAGTTAGGACTCTGAAGTATTCTAACTGGTATCTCATACTTTTCATAATTCTGCAATCCTTGTAAAATATTAGTATTAGCAGCTATAACTTCCACACAAGCATGTTTACTGATACATTAAAGTGATATACTGATTTTCTAAGTAAGTATCAACCATACTGAGTTAGCTGCAGAAACACATCAGATGTACAGTTAAGTACTTATCAAAACATAAAGACCTGTAACTGTATGTTATATATGCTCTATGAAAGACAAAATGTAATATGTTCATTTAGTGGTTGTAATAGTATGTTGTAATTACTTAATAAGATTGTTAAAAGACTTAAGATACTTCAAATATCATAGGAAATTTTACTTTCATTTACAAAGGTAAAGGAATATTACCCAAAGGACAAATTATTGACTATAGTATTGCACAGGGCTTTGTTGGTCTGTTTAGCTCCATGGTGAATAAATCTTATGAAATGAGAGGGAATGGGTGAGAGGGAGGGAGCAGTGCTGGGCTGCCTTGGCCTTCACTGGACTGCATTCCTTTCCTCTTGATTCATACCATGCTGGCAGGGAAGATGTCAAGCATATATATACAAACATATATATATGTGTGTTTGTGTGTGTATATAAATATGAATATATATATATATATATATATATATATATATATATATATATATATATATATATATACACACACATATATATATATATATATATATATATATATATATATATATATATATATATATATATATATATATATATATATGTGTATATCTATATCTATATATCTATATATATCTATATATCTATATATCTATATATCTATATATCTATATATCTATATATCTATTTATCCATATATCTATATCTATATATCTATCTATCTATATATATATATACATATATATATATATATATATATATATATATATATATATATATATATATATATATATATATATATATATATACATGTAAATTTATATATATATATAGATAGATAGATAGATAGATAGATAGATAGATAGATAGATAGATAGATAGATAGATAGATAGATATATATATATATATATATATATATATATATATATACATGTAAATTTATATATATATATATATATATATATATATATATATATATATATATATATATATATATATACTTATATATATATGTATATATATATAAATATATATATATATATACATATATATATATATATATATATATATATATATATATATATATATATATATATATATATATATATATATATATATATTTATATACTTACTAATTGATGATAGTAAGAAGTAAAAAAAGAAAAATGGAAGACAAGAAGAGTAAATGATATAACACAAACAAAACATGTTATGTTTTTCATTGTTTTTTTTATTGTTTTGTTTAAGAGAAATTATGTCTCATATATTTTTTTTTATCCTTGTTTCTTATATGTATGTCATTTTCATTATTAAGCTTTTCGATTTTCAGTGTTGCCATTATCATTATTATTATTATTCATTATCATTCTTATTATCATTGTTATCGTTATTATTGTTACTATTTTTGTTATCATCATCATTACCATTATCTATATTTATAGTATTATTACTATTATTGTTATCATCAATATTATTACTGTTATTATTATTATTATCATCATTATTATTATAATCATCATTATTACCATTATTGTTATAATTATTATCATTGATATCATTATTATTATTATTGTTATTGTTATTATTATTATTACAATTATTATTATTATTATTATTGTTATTATTACTATTATCATTATCAATATAATCATGCTTATTATTATCATTATTAGTGTCATTGTTATCATCATTATCATTATCATCATCATCGTCATCAGTAGACCTTCGGCCCATCTCTGACTCATCGTGACCATGACCTCGCAGGTCGTCCCACGGGCCTCCTCCTCCCAGGATTATCTCGCAGAGAGACAACCTGATGGGCGGGGTCATCCATAGAAAAACGAGCTAGGTGCCCATACAGCCTGAGTTGGCGGTCCCGGCTTTTGCAAGTACCAGCTGCCAGTCTTACGGTGTAGCTGCCGATCGGACACATGGCCCTGCCAACTGACAGCGTCCAGGTTTCGCTTCCATAAAGCAAAACTGGCAGTATCAAGGCCTTGAAGACACGTAGCTTGGTCCTTCTGCATAGGTACCGACATCTCCAAATGCTCTTGTTGCCTGAGTTCATGGTTCCTGCTGCCAGACCAATCCGTCTACTGACTTCTTGGTCTGACAGCCCAAAGATATGGACTACGCTTCCAAGGTATGTAAAGCTCTCTGTGACTTCAACGTCCTCATCGCAAGCATGGATCTGTCGCGGTTAACTCAGTTTCATCTTAACCTCTGGCCGAATTACACTCTATGGGCCCATACGCCACGTTTCAATGTTTCCTGGCCGAGTTCTTATTTTACTCCCGTTTGTGGTAGCACTGTGTTCCGAGAAATACAAGGAAATTGGCCGGAAAGAGAGCCTAATGATTGAGGCAACCATCAATAGAAAAAACAAAGCTGTATGTGTGTGTGTGTGTGTGTGTGTGTGTGTGTGTGTGTGTGTGTGTGTGTGTGTGTGTGTGTGTGTGTGTGTGTGTGTGTGTGTGTGTGTGTGTGTGTGTGTGTGTGTGTGTGTGTGCGTGTGTAGGTGTGTGTGTTCGCGCGTATACGTGTACGTGTGCATGTGGGTGTGCGGGTGCGCGGGTATACGTACGTGTGTGCGTGTGTATGTGTATGTGTGCGTGTACGTGTGTGTTGTGCGTGTACGTGTGTGTTGTGCGTGTACGTGTGTGTTGTGCGTGTACGTGTGTGTTGTGCATGTACGTGTGTGTTGTGCGTGTATGTGTAAGTGTAAGTGTAAGTGTAAGTGCGCGTGTGAGTGTACGTGTATGTGTGAACGAGGGTAACTACGTAAGGGCTTGCTCGTGTGTGCGTGAGCGCTCACGAACGTAGTTACGTGTAAGCACATGTGTATTCATGGGGATACTGTTATAATTTCTTTAGTACATAAAATCATCAGCTCTTACTTTTAAAAATCACTGTCACCATGAGAGATCACACCGTTTGGGCCATTAGTTATTCTTTATAATAATGTCTCTCTCTTTCACAGTTCTTTTACTTATAAAATAAAACTAAAAAAGACAAGGTAAAATCGGGAGAGTGCCACGTACATATACACAAACCAATATAATTAGCTTTACCTTTTCATATCAGATCACAGGTCACTGTTGCAATCCACAGGCGAAGGGAGTCCGTTACAAAAAGTTCAGAAAACACACAAAAAAAAACACAAAAGGCGACAGCGTGTTGCCTCGGCGAACCCCAGCCTGCCCTCTCTGTCTCGGCTGTGTCTCCGGCGGGCTTCCCTCAGGTACGGTAATTAGCCACTACATAGTTCACTAGTTTTTTTCCAGCGCAAGTAGCTGTGGCTTATTCAACACCATAGTCTCAGTTAATTTGGTCGTTTTTCGTCTGCGCCATGGTTATCACGCCTTTTACAGTGATCTGGTTTCGCTTCGCTATTTTTAATTATTTTATATATAGGATTGTTCATGCGTGTCAGTCCGTCGGCAAATCTGATCACGACAGATCGACTGAACAGGTTCCCCTAGCAGGCCCCCAAACTCCTGAATCTTGGTCTTGGTCCAGGACATCTCTAAGCCAAGGGTTTCGCCGCATTGCTAAATACACCAACAGCCGCCGCCAGCGATTCCAGAGACTCAGATAGGATAGCGACATCGTCGACAAAATCAAGGTTATAGCAATTGTTATTATCACTGATATCGTTATTTTTATTGTCATTATTATTATTATTATTATCGTCATCGTCATCGTCATCATTATCATCATCATCGTCATCATCATCATCGTCATTATCATCATCATCGTCGTCATTATCATCATCGTCATCATCATCATCGTCGTCATTATCATCATCGTCGTCATTATCATCATCGTCGTCGTCATTATCATCGTCATCATCATCATCGTCGTCATTATCATCATCGTCATCATCATCATCGTCGTCATTATCATCATCATCATCATCATCGACATCGTCATCATTTTCATCATCATCATCGTCATTATCATCATCATCGTCATCATCATCATCGTCATCATCATCATCATCATCGTCATTATCATCATCATCGTCGTCATTATCATCATCATCATCATCGTCGTCATTATCATCATCATCGTCGTCATTATCATCATCATCGTCGTCATTATCATCATCGTCGTCGTCATTATCATCATCGTCGTCGTCATTATCATCGTCATCATCATCATCGTCGTCATTATCATCATCATCGTCATCATCATCGTCGTCATTATCATCATCATCGTCGTCATTATCATCATCATCATCATCGTCGTTATTATCATCATCGTCATCATCATCGTCATTATCATCATCACCATTGTCATTATCATCGTTATCATCATCATCATCATCATCGTCATTATCATCATCACCGTCATCATCATCATCATCGTCATCATCATCATCACCATCGTCATTATCATCATCATCGTCATCATCACCATCATCATCGTCATTATCATCATCATCATCACAGCGTCATTATCATCGGGGGGGCTATCCATCATCGTCCGTCGTCATCATCATCATCGCCATCCATCATCATCGTCATTATCATCAGTCACCATCATCATCATCGTCATTATCATCATCATCACCAATGTCATTATCATCGTTATCATCATC